GGTGAGCCCAAACAATAAAATTTACCAATAGTACCAACCGGATAATAATTGAAGCATGTGCTCTATCTCAAGTGCGGACCGACTCTTTTGTATCAAGTGATGCAAAGATTTGAACCCATACCCATAATTTCTGGCGGGGTTGGCTTTGATACCGAATTGAACTAGCAGATCTATCTTAAATGTCCTGAGCCGCTGATACCAAATTGATGCATGTGCCCCATCTCAACTAAAAGTCTAAATTGATAGTTGAATTGTACATTAATGTGTATATATATTTCATGCTCAACAATAGTATGTGGTTCACTAAACATATATAATTATCCAATATTCGTACCTCAAATACTAACTATATTGAAAATAGTTCAAAGCATTTATTTATTTTAAAAACACATATTTAAACTAATCAAAAATTTACTTAATAATGCTCTTGATCAGCCTTGGATTTGTCGACAAATCCCTTAAAATTCATATGATGACGCCAGAGATTAGGCTAATCCAAATCCGAACAGTAGTTAGAAGGCTAACAGACACTCAAAGTAACGATGAAACCATAGTTTTGTTTTGTCTTTCATAAGTCTGTAGATGAAAAATGACAAAGAAATCACCCTTATATATAGACTGCTAGATTGAATGGCTGGCTGTGTGTAGCATTATATTAACCCAAATTAAAGCCAATTAAGCAAAATAAAAATGGATGAGATGAAGTCTGTGAAGTCGGAGGAGGTTTTGAGCCCTGCCGGGAGGCGCAGTCTGTGCGTGGTGAATTATGAGAATAAATGCGTGAAGCGGCGGCGTAGGTCTCCTCCGGCAGCGATCGCCATCCAACCGCCGGGAGAGACGAGTCTTCAGAACGCCGCGGATTCTACCACTCCTAAGCACCAAAATGTTCCCACAACTCCAACTGTTAAGAGAAGTTCAAGATTTCGCGGTGTTAGCAGGTACACGCTCACACTTACTTTTCGGCAAGGCAACAACATTAATTAATTTTATCATTCTTATTATTATTGGACAGAGTTCGGTAAGGGCCCACTCCAGCACCATGTGACTATGAGATTGTTGGGCTAAAACCGGTAAAGGGACAAGTGAGTTGTTAGGAGATTGTTGGGCGAGGCCGATAAAAGGCCAAGTCTAGCACCCTATCTATTGAAAATGAGATGGCAGTATATAAGAAAAGAAAGTTGCATCTTCGCGGTGGATTATAACTTTTGACGTAGTGATAAACGCTTAAATCTAACAAGTGGTATCAGAGCCAAATTATGAGTTAGTGACCCGTTAAGACTGGCTGGTGATAAAAGAACAAGTCCAGCAATTAGTTGCTAGGGAACTGTTGGGCAGAGGCCCGTAAAGAGCAAAGTCTAGCACCCTATCTCTCGAAAATGGGGTAATGATATATAAGAAAAGAAAGTTGCGCCTTCGCGATGGACTATAGCTTTTGGCGTAGTGATAAACACTTGATTCTAACAAGTGGTATCATGGGTTAGAGACCAGTTAAGACTGACTACCTGAGTGGCGATAAGGGACAAATCCAGCAATTAGTTGTTAGGGGATTGTTGGGCAGATGTTGGTAAAGTGTCAAGTCTAACACCCTATCTCTCAAAAACCGGATAATGGTATATGAGAAAAGAAAGTTGTGCCTTCGCGAGAACTATATCTTTTGGCGTAGTGGTAAACGCGATTCTAACAAGTGGTATCATGGGTTAGAGACCAGTTAAGACTGACTGCTTGGCTAGTGATAAGGGTAAAGTCCAGCAATTGGTCGCACTTAATCCTAACACTTTGGTGTGTTGTGGTTTGCAGACATCGATGGACAGGACGATACGAGGCTCATTTGTGGGACAAAGGATCATGGAACGCAACGCAGAAGAAGAAAGGGAAACAGGTGTATCTTGGAGCATATGATGAAGAAGAATCTGCAGCAAGAGCATATGATTTGGCTGCAATCAAGTACTGGGGAACATCAACCTTCACAAATTTCCCAGTATGATCCTTAATTTGTTTAATATAATTAGCCATAACATGTGAACTGAAACCTTTATTCACTTTGATTTTGTGTTGGATTGCAAAATTAACTGAGGAAATTATTTTGTGTTGGATTGCAAAATTAACTGAGGAAATTATGTCTGATCAGATATCTGACTATGGAAAGGAGATTGAAATAATGCAGAATGTAACCAAAGAGGAGTACTTAGCCTCTCTCAGAAGGTATAAATATAATGTACCACTGATAATAATCAATTCAAGTTTAATTGCATGTGTGTTATGAATTAAGACAAAGTTAATTAAATGAAGTTGATATATATTACATTTAAAAGCAGGAGGAGTAGTGGATTTGCAAGGGGTGTGTCCAAATACCGAGGCGTTGCTAGGTAAATTATATTTCAATTCTACACAACTCTTCCTTGATCTTCCCCATCTGTTGGGCGGGGGCCGATAAATGGCTAAAAAATGTGATGGTAGTCTATAAAAAAAATAAAGTTATGTCTTCGCTACGAGTTATAGCTTGAGACTGACAGATCCTGTCCGCACAGGCGTAGCTCAATGGTTCAATAGACAGTATTTGGGAGAAGAGATCAAGGTCCGAACCTTGGTGGCGACAATATGAGAATTATGTCCAAAGTGGGCAGATCTCTTATGCAACTATGCAACCATTGAGTTACCGTTATTTACATCCTCCCAAATACTCTATCGAACCTTTTGGAAAAAGATTGACATATTCTGGGAGGGAATGAAAATTCTATGGTCAAGTCTAGTAATTGGCTCTCGAAAAGCAAGATTGACATATTCTGGGAGGAAAACTTCTATGGTCAAGTCTAGCAATTGGCTGTCGAAATGCCAAGCTCTAGATTGACCTGTAACACTGACTGGCTAGCTAGGTATCACACTACATGTCATATTGGTAACAAATTAAACTTTTCTATGCATTATTTAACACTCAGGCATCATCACAATGGGAGATGGGAAGCAAGGATTGGACGCGTTTTTGGCAACAAATATCTGTATCTTGGCACATATAGTGAGTATCGTGCTCACCATTTTTTTCTCTCTTCATCAAACAATTCAATTTCCTGCAAAGATTAAGAATGAGACACTACTTGTTCTCTCTAATTTAATCAACATTAATCTTAAAATGTTGAATCCAACATAATCAATTAATTAGTATCGTTTCCATCTTTGCCAAAAAAACTTATAGCTAGTAGCAAATGCACTCAACTCATAACCTGGCTGGCTTTGATACCACTTATTAGGATTAAAAGCTTACCACTACGCCAAAAGTACTTACCATTATGCCAAAAACGCTTACCACTTTTATTATACCGCTGTTACATTTTCAAGAAGTAGGGTGCTAAGATAAGCGCTTATTATTAAGTCAAAAGCTATCGAGACGTTGGGTGTTGGACTTAGCCTTTTAAGCCCTTTAACGGCTTCCGCCTAACAATCCCCTAGTCACCGAGTGCTAGACTTGGTCTTTCCTGACCACTGCCCAACAATTCCCTTCTTTTCCGCCCAACATTCCCCTAGCTACCGAGTACTAGACTTGGCATTTCCCATCCTCCACCCAACAATTTCCCCCTTCCAAATACCACTTGTTAAGATCAAGCATTTACCGTAACTGTATTTCCTTATACCGCCACACGTTTTCCAGGCGCTAGGTGCTAGACTTAGCCTTTTAAGCCCTTTACCAATCTCCGCCTAACAATCTCCTGCCAACAGGTGCTAAACTTGGCCTTTCCCGACCTCTCTGTCAACAATCTCCTAATCACACGTTACTAGACTTTGACCCGTTACCAACCTTCGCCCAACACATTTCAACTAACAAATTAAACTTATCTGCGTTTTAGGTACTCAAGAGGAAGCAGCGCGAGCCTACGACATAGCAGCCATCGAGTACAGAGGAATCAACGCCGTTACAAATTTCGATTTGAGCACATACATAAGATGGCTAAAACCATCTGGTGCCAATTCCCTGGCATTACAGGAGGACCACCTCGTATCAGAACCTCTACAATCCAATAACACAGTTAACGCAAGTGACCAACGCCAATCCTTCTCCTACAACTACTTCTCTACCACCACTGAAACCCCCCTGGCTGCTGCGGCTTCCATTCCTCAAGACCCAATCGTCGTGAGGAAACCGCCGTTAAGCCCTCACAACAAACCGCCGTCTTCCCCAACCGCCCTAAGCCTCCTCCTTCGTTCATCCATGTTTCGCTCGCTTGTGGAGAAGAATTCCAACGCCGATAGTGAGGAGAATGAATCGCAGGTGGGTGCAGAAGGTGATGAGGATTTCGCGTTTTATGCAGGGGACAAGCTGCCTGGATTGGATTCATTGGAGAAGGCGGGGCAATCTTTCTGGGATTTGATGTCGTGATTAATGGTCAAACTCTAACAATGAGGGAAGAATAATCTACAATGAGATAGTCTTCATCTGGAAATAGATGAGATCAGCTGGTAGTCTCTTTATAGAAATAGGAGTGTATATAAAGATCCAGCAATAACTTTGTCCAAATGTACTACTACTCCAAGTAATACCAGATAAGAGAAGATGGAAAAGGTGAGAACCTGACTATTCATTAAAGAATTGAGAACCAATCGCAGTTGTTCACTTGTCTAATTGTTCATATCTAACAGATCAGAAACACTATTTAAAAAAAAATTTTGCAGTGACATTTTCATAAACAATTGAAATTTGAAGTGCAAGTAAATCTTTCTCTATAATAAAGCAAAAACATTTTGGTCAAAAAAAAAAAAATTATTTTCCCGCCCATTTGCTCTTGCATTTTTGGTCACCAAAACAACTTTGTGACTGTTGAATTATTGTGGGTTATCTTTTTAGATTTCAGAATATGCAATCATTTCTTTTCACCATTTACCAATGATCATTGGTTACTGCACCCATAGAATAATATTAAATAATATTTTTCAATACAAAATATAATATAATTATACATTTAAATTCACAATAAATACAATCTGATCAGAATGCATTAAATGCAAAAGGACAATGAAAAGACTATGTGGCATGCATTTACCAATGATCTTTGGTTACTGTATGCATAAAATAATTTTAAATAACATTTTTTAGTACAAAATATAATATAACAATATAACAATACATTTAAATTTACAATAAATACAATCTGATCAGAATGCATTAAATGCAAAAGGAAAAACTGAAAAGACCATGCGGCATGCATTAAATGCACAGAAGCTATTAATGAAAAAATGACGACTCACGCGTAATAATGACCAAACCCAAGTTCCACACTTCGTTTTCCCAGATGGTTGGGTTAATGAGGTAATTTGGCTATAAATAGTAGTTGTTTTCCTGCACAATTCACTTCAACTTCTTCAACAACAAATATGAAATACAAACTCAATATAACATCATGGTAGGAATGTTCATTTTGGCCAAAGATATAAGTCCTATGACTTTGAAAAGAGCTATCAAACTAAGGCTTGTGAGAACATATGAAGTTCATGATAACCGTGGTAACAACTCTATTAAAATCAAATAATGTATCTTCCACGATGAAGAGGTAACATTTTTTACTGCACTTTATATTTCATTTATTTTTACTATTTTTTGTTGACATTATTCTTTTGTTAGGGGACATATCTTCATGCTTCAATACAAAGAGAACAAGTAGAAAAATTCCAGAATGTCTTCAAAGAAGGTGTTGTGTATGGCGTGAAGAACTTTTTAGTAATAACAAATTATTTTACCTACAAAACTACTGAACATCGGTTCATGTTAAAGTTTAACTATTCTACCATTGTCAAAGAGTACAAGCCACAAAACTTCCCTAAGGTGTTATTTAGATTAAAAAGTATTGAAATGTTAATTTCTAAGAAGGATCTGAATGAAAAGCAGCTGCTAGGTATATTGCTTCATCACACATTTTCATATGTTGATTTACAATTTTATTCAAGTTTATATTTTTATATCAAATCAAAATTGTGCACAGATGTGATTGGGAAGGGTGTGGAGATATATTCTCCACTGGACAAAATCATTTGATGGTAGACCGTCTAGGCTTATTGATTTCATAATTGAAGATGGACGGTATGTTTTTTTTTTCGTTTAATTTAATTTAATTCTAAGCCTTTGTCTAAATTTTTATAAAGTTTTATAAATTATATTATCTGACAACATTTAAAATATTGAAGGAGTAATCGTCTTAAGTGCACCGTGTGGGATAATCACGTTGATTCAATCCTACCGTATTATAATTCTGTTATTGAAGGACCACTTTGTTCTGATTCAACTATGTAGGGCAAAAGAAGTTAATGGTTAGTTTTTTTTTTTTTTTTAATATCTAATACACACAATAAATAGTTGTTATAATCGTCTGTTCAATATTTGGTGACACTATACAGGAGAAGTCAGAATTTCCAGCTCTTATAGTGCAACTAAGATGTTATTTAATCATGACTTGCCAGAATTTAATGAGTTCAAGAAAAGGTAATTTATTCCCTTGATATTTCTATTTATTTATTTTGTTCCTACAAATTTTTTTAACATCTTTTTAATAGTCTTGGAGGCCTTCAAACTCCTCTACGGACTATTAGTTCAATTTCGAGGCTATCTTCTGGAAATACAATCATTGACTTACAGAGTGGCGACATTGTGGTCAGTACAATTGCAGATTTATATGAAAAGAAAGAGGTAATCTCAGACTAACTATCTCAGTGTTATTACAATTTCAAAATTTAATTCTTTTTGATATGTTTTATACAAAATTTATGATGGGCAGGTTGGTGAATATTGGGTCCCTGCAAAGATTGCTGGAATTGAGAGTGTTGGTGATTGGTCATATCGTTCGTGTGTTAGTAGTGGCTGCAACAAAAAGTTGGTCCTTGAAGAGGGACTGTTGTGTTGTACCAAATGCAAGAGGAAATGTGAGGAAGGGATTTTAAAGTATAGGCTCATTGTTCGGGTCTACGATAATAGTTTTGATGCTCCCTTCCTAATTTGGGATTGGGAATGTAATGATTTGTTGGGTTTGACAACTAAAGATTTGATGAAAAAGTATCCTGAGGTAGATTTCTTTATATTTGGTAATTTATGTTTGCGAATTATTATTGTGATACATTCATATTTTATTTTTCATATTTTGTTTACGTGTTTAAGGGCTATGATGATATCCCAAGAGAGATTGAGGGTTTATGTGGAAGGATCTTGCTATTCAAGGTGTCAGTGAAGAAGGAACAATTAAAGAATTTTAACAGTGCTTTTCCTGTTATTAAGGTGGTCACTGACCCAGCTATGTTGTCTACATATTGTTCTATGTTGGAGCTAGAACAGGATAAAGATCATATTTTAAGGATGGTTGATGCTACTACTGACAAAGAAGATGCTGAGATGGTAAGTGCTTTTAATAGAGAAAGATAATCACTTTTCAACTTAAACATATATTTTCACATTTATATGTTGTTAAAAATGTATAGGAACTATCTTTTGCGGATGAAGCAAAAAGCCCAGTAAACTTGGGAGATAATGAAGATGTTGATCTTGATCCAAAAGGGGTGTCAGTTAAACGCCGTCTACTTGATGAGTTTTCAAGCACTATGAAAAAGGGGAAAGCTATCATTGTCAAAAAGGAGAAATGAAGGACTGTTGGAATTATTAATGTTGTTTTTTGAAACACTGAAGCTGAATGTTGTTTTTGAAAGACGGACGTTTGATGTTGTTTTTGCAAGACAGAAGTTTAATGTTGTTTTTGTAAGACTTTTAACCGTTTCGGATATTGTGCTCATGTGCACAGATTGATGTACTGTTTTGAAACTTACCATGTTTAATATTTAAATTGTGTGTGTTCTGTAATTGTTGTTTTTGGATTTTGTAAGTTAACCTTTGCAGGTTTGCTGGACTGATTATATATTGATGCCAAGTAAATTTGGCACTACAGAGTCTGCAAAAGCAGGGTAGGAGTAATTTAAGGTAGTATTCGTTTTGTTTTTTAAACTATCATTTTAATTATGTTTGACCAAATAAAATGCAGGGAACTTAACAGTGTCATTTTTCTTGCTGATTCCAGCAACTGTGGAGCAAATATTATAGATGAGTAGATGACAATTTATCTGGCCATGCAGATTCCAACACAAGCTTCAAGATCAATATTGGGGGTGGTCTTTTGGAATACATATTTTCTGTGCTTAAAGTAGTATTTGACTTGCGTTTATTGTAATGTCTATGTACAAATATAATTTCACAAATGTACCAGTAACCAGTTTAATAAAATCTTGGTTTTTGTTCTTATAATTAGGTGTATGCCCATAAAAATTAATTCCATAAAATAAACTACAACTAAAACACTATAATTCCACACTGTAACAACACACAAATGTTTATACTATATATAAGCTGATGTATAATATATATATATATATATACGCACGAAGGAAATAAAAAAAAATTATAATATTATACCTGTAAATTAAATGATCCTCTTCTATTTGGAGCAACTCATATCTTCTCAATTACATTTTTCCAACTAGATCTCAACCTTCATAAATAAATAAAATAAAAATAACAATAAGAATTTTAACTATTTTGTGTAAATAATAAAAAAATTAGAAGGTTGAGGTAGATCAAAATACAGATTATAAATACAATTACAAAATATATTTAACATAGGAAAGATCTATGGTAGTTATAAGGAAGAAGTCACTTATCTTATCTATATAAGCGAAGTCAAATTCGAATGATCAATACAACAAATCCGATCGAATCAGAAAACACTGTACATCAAGATGTAGATAGACAGTTGGTCGAACAATCTTGACATAGATTATCGAAGAATATGCATGCATTCATATTTGGTGAACAAAGAAGGACAATTTTGCGAAGTCGCTGGAGATCGCAACATTGGAAGAGACAAACGGATCACGAAGAGATCGCTGATGTACGGAAAAGATAATCAGGCAAGTTAGAAGAGAGAAGCAGGCGATCGCTATTTCAGAGGACAGAAGAGAGAAAAACAAGGGTTGCATCCGTTCTTAGATTTCAGACGAATTTTTGATCTACCAAATGTTTCAAACCTAAATGTTTCAGACCCAAATGTTCGTATAATTGTTTGTATTTATTATACTGTATGGGCTGGGCAGGGTTATGGAAGAGTTTGGGCCAATTAAATTAGAAATATATGGGGGCGTTTACTAACAGGAAATTTTCAAGAATTTTCGGAAATTGAAAATTGAAAACAGTTTAGGTGTTTACCATGTTTTATTCCCATTTCTAAAATTGAAAACTATTCTTCCTTTTTAAAAGAAATTTGGAACACAATAAAAAGTTGTTTCCAAATTTGAGAATACACGCGTGAAGTAGGTCTACCCATCGATTCCGCCAGCCCTTTTTTTCTTATTTCTTCTTTCTTTTCGATCTCTGCTTGCGACGTTTTTTTCTTATTTCTTCTTTCTTTCCGATATGCTACTTCCTCCTCAACATCGCTGCCGGCTTGCTTTTCATCAACGAGAGGTGCTGCTTCCTCCTCAACATCGCTGCCCACCTGCTTCTACCGGAGAAACGATCACTGCCATCCTCTCGCTACCACGCCGGAAAACCCACCCTCACGTCTCCATCCTCTCCTCTTCACCAATCCAATTCGCCCGTCTTCTCACTCACACTGCACCACCGCCGCCGTCACTTGCCCCGCCGTCGGCGCTAACAACCACAAGCCCACAACTCCTTGATACAATCTCTATGCAAGAAAGGCCAACTGAAACAAGCCCTTCATCTGCTCTCGAAGGAGCTCTTTTTGGCGACTAAACTCATAAATATGTACTCAGGTTTGGACTGCATCAATGACGCACGCCATGTGTTTGATAAAATTTGCAACAGAACGATATGTCTAGAATGTTCTCTTCCATGTGTTATCTTTCGCTGGTCATGGTGATGAGGTTTTGGGCTTATATAGACGGATGATTAAGGTTGGCATCGCATCTGATAGGTTTACGTATACATATGTTTTGAAGGCTTGTGTTGTTTCTAAGTCACTGGTGTCTCTGCTTCACCGCGAGCTTATCGACGATGGTAACCCAGTGATAAGGTACCAAAGAAATCATGCTAGGGAAGAATAAAAAGCTAACTCCGAGAATTATTGCAATTAATCAAAAACAGAGAATTGAAAACAAGTTTTCATTTCAGTTTTCAAAAACAGAGAATTGAAAACAGAAAATAGAAAACAGAGAATAATTTTCTGTTAGTAAACGGGCCCTATATGTTTAGGTCCAAAAAGTGTTAAAGGCTTTTGTGGTCAGATTTTAATTTGTAGTCATATATATATATATATATATATATATATATATATATATATATATATATATATATATATATATATATATATATATATATATATATATATATATATATATATATATATATATATATATATATAATGTTTTAAAATTTTGGAGGCATTATGGTATCGGAAAAATAGTTGTTTTAGGTAGTGATTTTAAGTAAATATTACCAGTTATTCCGAAAGTAGATTTAGAATGGTTACAAATTAATATTTACTACAAAGTAATTACATCTTTGAAATAAGTAATTACTAATTCCTAATTATTCATTTGTACTTCAAGTTAGATAGTGTGTACAGACAATTTGACTTCGTAGTCATAAATAGCTTTATTTACACCGTAATTTTCTGTATGGAATTAATTTTGAAATCATGTTTTGACATTGAAGGTTGGATCACCGATCATGTTGCTAAGAAACATAGATCACACAATGGGTGTTTGCAATGGTACTAGGTTGGTTGTGAGCAGACTAGCTGAACATGTGGTTGAAGCAAAGATTATGACAGGTACTCATGTAGGTAAAAAGGTGTTGATAGGAAGAACGTCAATGACGCCTTCAAACCCGAGATTTCCGTTCAAATTCCAGCGTAAACAATTCCCAATTATGCTGTCATACGCAATGACAATCAACAAAAGTCAAGAGCAAACTTTGACCCATGTAGGCCTGCTGTTGAAGAAACCAGTATTTGTGCATGATCAATTGTATGTTGCGGCATCTAGAGTAACAAATCCAAAGAGCTTAAAGATTGTAATTTGTGATGAAAATGGTCAGGATAGTAATTCCACAATTAATGTGGTTTACAAAGAGATCATCAATAATCTATAATTTAATTTGACACATTCATTATTCATCATCTTTATTATTAAGTTATTTTGTAGTTTGTAAATATAAAAAATAATATTATTTCTTCATAATATTTAATATTACAATATACTTAACTGAATGTTACAATATATATATATATATATATATATATATATATATATATATATATATATATATATATATAAAATATAGTTTAATAATGTTACCAATAATTATCACAATAACTATAATGAAATTTTAGTCCGTGCATCGCACGGGTGTCATACTAGTTATGTTAAAAATACAAGTAAAATGTACTAAAAGTGCAACAAATAATGTAAATTGAACATTGCTTTATAAAACAAAAGATTTCCTCAATCGAAAAGATATTATTATAAAGGAAAATTGTAATTTATGTTACTTACAAATATGTCAATTATTAATGTTACTACTAAATTATTAGTGTTGTAAATATTGCTCATTAATTTTCAAAACGTGATATATATTGCCCCTCTCCTATATTATTAGTGGTGTAAATGTAGTTACCAGTCGTTTTTCATGTTAAAAGACTATATTTTTTCCTATATTATTAGTGGTATAAATGTAATTATCCATTGTTTTCCATTTTCAAAGACCACATTTTTTTCTTCCTCCATTTTTCTTTCTTCGTTTGTTCTCCTTTTGCTGACAAATATATTTATTTTTCTTCCTATTAAGAGATGAGCCATATATGTAACGTTTTAAAAATTACGAGATAATAATATTTACACCATTAATAATTTAAAAATAATAATGATAATTTACATATTTCTTATGCCATAAATTACAATTTTCTTTATTGTAATTTATAATCGTGCGTAACTCACTCACCCTCACAAAAAATATCAGCGCTTGGTTTTATATCCTAATTCAATAATTTTTTTTTAAATGAATAGGAAAAATTGAGAAATGAAGAAGGAATAGTAGGAATCCCAATAAAAATCGATAGCACCTCCACTTGTGCCTGAAACCGCCGCTAACGCCGCCGTTTGCGCCGCCGCCTGGGCACTGAATACCACCGCTAAAGCATAATGTCTCTCCTCCACACGCCATGCGCCTCCTTTTTGTTGAGCGCCAAAACCCCAAAGGCCACCGTTAAACCCTTCGAAGCTCTTCCATTCTCCTCGGCTCTAAACCCTAGGTCAAGAGCCTCCCCGATTCGACTTTCCTACTCCTCGCTCAATGAGCCGTCGGACCCGAAACCATCTGGGCTGCCTATCGCCGGGGGAATTAACAAACCGGACGACGTGTCGGATAATAAGCCCTCGGCTTTTGTGGACGAGTGGGGCGAGAAGTCGGAACCGGAGACCCAACCGACCACGAAATTCGCGGACTCCGATCCTCCCCAGGACGAGGATGAGTGGGGCGGGAATGAGTTAGGGGGAAATGGGGCTCCCGAAACGGGTAGTGGCGAAGACGAGAGGCTTCGGGACCTGAAGAGATGCTTGGCGGACACGGTTTACGGTACGGATTTCGGGTTCCGGGCCTCAACGGAGATACGAGCCGAGGCTCTGGAGCTTGTATCTCAGCTGGAGGCCGCTAATCCAACTCCGGCGCCGACGGAATCTCCCGAATTGCTTGATGGGAACTGGATTTTACTGTGAGTTTTCTTCGCGTATTATTCTATGTTACATATATGAAATGCGAATTGGCAGAAGCCTTCACTGTGTTTTCAATGAAACCGTTTTAATGAGAAATATGAACCCACCTAAACCTGTTGACATTAAATTATACAAACTAGTATGATAACCTAAAGGGTTATTTCATTTGAAGCAAAATAGAAATTTATGAGCAACTGGTTATCAGAAATAATGATAGAAGCAAGAACATCTTCCATCCAAGTTTGCTTTGAATTTTGATCCTTCTGCCCTGGCATTATTATGCTAAAGGACTAAGGACTCTTGCAAGAACAGGGTAACTCTTCCAGACCTTAATATTTTGTGTATGACTAATAATGGGTGCTTTTGAGCAATTTCTATGTAGAACCAGACTTGCAAATATATATAGATTCAGATCATATGTGAACCCTTTGTTAGTTGAGAACGTGCAAACTAAATGAATGCACTGCAACTACTCCAATTTCTCCGTTCGGCTGCTAGACATTCGTGGAGTAGTTGCAGTGCATTCATGCAGTAGTTTGCATATTCTCACCTAAGGCATGGTTGTCATAGGAGCAGGACCCTATATATATAAGGGTCATATGAGAACCCTTCCTTAGGTGAGAACGTGCAAACTGAATAAATGCAACGCAACTACTCTAACTTCTCTGTTCGGGCTCCAGGCATGCCTGGAGTAGTTGCGCTGTTGCGGTGCATTCATGCAGTAGTTCACATGTTCTAACCTAAGGCATGGTTCTAATGGGAGCTGGACCCTATATATATATATATATATATATATATATATATATATATATATACACACACTCAGACAGACAGACACACACACACATATATGGATGAACATAGAAAGAATACAAAGGATTGATTCATTCAGAAACTGGAACGAGGTAGATTGGCATAATTTGTTTTCTTTAAACTGTTCAGCATTTCATTCTTGTATCACTCTACTGTGTGTTAGGTTTACAGCATTTTCTGAATTATTACCCCTCCTTGCTGTGGGCAACATTCCATTGGTTAAAGTTGAAAAGATTTCTCAATTGATTGACACAAGCAGCCTTACAATCGAGAACTCCACATCATTATCAAGTCCTGTTGCCACACTCTCTTTTAGCGCCACTGCAACCTTTGAGGTTAGAACCCCCTCAAGAATACAGGTATGCACTTATACTATATGGATTTTCTGAGATATTAACAGTTTCATGCATTGTTGTTAAGGCGTCACCTAGGCGACGCTTAGGCGTCCGGTCGGTGGAGACTGGTCGCCTAATGAGCTCGCCTCACCTTACCAAAACAAAAAACCCTACTAATACGTAGCTGAGAGCTTGAGACACTGACTCCCCCATCCTAGCCTCGCCTTAGTGGTTGTTTAACTTTGTTTTTCGACAGGGGTTATGGCTGATAATGAAAATAACCCAATTATGATCCATCAACTACTCCTAAAAGGATGGCTAAATCTAAAAAACCCATGCTGGAAATGCTAATTATTGCATAATTTAGTACTTATTGTGGAGATTTATATACTCATCGCCTAGGCAGCCGCCTAGGTGCCTAGGCGGTTGGTGGCACCTCACCTAGGCAACTAGGCGGTCAGTGGCGCCTCGCCTAGGCAACTAGGCGGTCGGTGGCACCTCGCCTTGAAAGTCCGCCTTAACAATAATGGTGCCATGTGGGTGTTCATTCCCTGACATTTTATATTGGACAATAATTGGTATCAATTAAAATTTTCTTGACATTATTTTGGGTACTTAAGAATTTAGGACCCTTGATGATGCTAAAGAAAATGGTGTATGAATTAAGAGACTAATATTGAGGAATTTTGGATAGATGTTGATTTCCACAATCATTTGGGAGATTTTCATGTCATGCTTTTAGTGAACTTTCCACACAGGTTGAATTTAAGGAAGGCAGCTTTAAACCTCCTGAAATCAAGTCAAGAATTGATTTGCCAGAGAACGTGGATATTTTTGGGCAAAAGATCAATTTGTCTCCTGTGCAACAATCTATGGGTCCTCTCGAAAATGCTGTGGCTGGTATAGCTCAAACAATTTCCGGTCAGCCCCCTCTAAAGGTCCCAATTCCTGGTGAGAGGTCTAACTCCTGGCTTCTTACTACATACCTTGATAAGGATATGCGAATCTCCAGAGGAGATGGTGGCCTTTTCGTGCTTGTTAAGGAAGGAAGTTCCCTTGTATATTAAAGCAGTACAGTTTTTGTTGATTCTAAATTCTTAGATTAATAAACTTGGTTCTATCAGAGCTTCATGAAGGCCAAAATTTCAAATTTTAATCTCACAACATTTGGTTGGATAATACCGATATAGTTTCTTGCACATAAAAGCTCTCTCTCTCTCTCTCTCTCTCTCAAACTAATCCCTGCTATCTGTGCTTTGAGTTACATCTCAGATTGCAATGTGTCTGATTTACATGACAATCTCAAACAGAAATTAAACTTTAGCAAAGTCAGGAGTGATTGTTCTAACAGTGTGGCTAAGGATCACACTCATGAAGGTTCTTTCCTTATGAATCAGATAGATTCATATCTAAAAGAGGTTTACAATAAGTTCTTTCAAAATTGACAATTTGTCCCTTTTGTCGGAGGATTTTCAGAAATGTCTACGATTGAATAAATAGCTCTACGAACGCACAAAGAAAATCTTTTCTTGCAAAGTAACAAAATATTGAAAAATTGCCCATATAGAAAATATGAATTATTAGGGTTGTGTTCTAACAGATTGAATAGATACTTATTGTGGGTGATATTCTTCCCAAACATATTAAGTTTGGTATAAATATTTTATTACTTACAATATAAATATTTTATTACTTACAATTAGCATTATCATGATGAATGTAACGTAATTCTATATTCGATAATCAGGAATAACAACTGTTACAGATAATATAAGCTGGAGGTAGAAGATTATTAGGACTCTCACACTTGAGTCCATTATTAACTCTAATATTATCTATTATCTTATTACACTCCCTCAAGCTTAAGGTGGCAAAGAAACAACATTAAGCTTGTCACGAAGAACCCCGAACCGCATAGCAGCAAGCGGTTTAATTTAGTAAAGATGTCAGCAACCTGCTCCTGAGTAGAAACATAATGAACCCTGAAAGCACCAGAGGAGACCTAATCGACCTCCACATGCTTCGTGCGCGCGTGGAAAACAGGATTGGCGCACATGTACGTAGCCCTGAGGTTGTCACACCAGAGGGTCGGTGGTGAAGAAACTGGTAAGCCAATCTCAGCCAATAAGGACACAATCCACGTAACTTCTGCAGCCACATCAACTAAGCCCTTATACTCAGCCTCAGTCGACGACCGAGCCACCATGCGCTGCTTGCGACATACCCAAGAAACTAAGTTGCAGCCAAGATAAACAGCAAATCCGCTGGTAGACTTCCGGTCTGCCGGATCCCCAGCCCAATCCGAGTCCGAGTACGCATGCAAAGTAGAGTGAGGCGAAGGCCGAAGACGCAAACCAAAATCCAATGTGCCCTTGACATAGCGAAGAACACGCTTCAACACAACCCAGTCATAAACCATGGGAGATTGCATATGCTGACAGAGCTGATTGACAGCATATGACAAATTCGATCGAGTGACGGTCAAGTACTGCAATGCACCCGCCAGACTACGATACTGTGTGGGATTCGCAAAAGGCTCAGTAGATAGCTCAGACGACCGAGCAACTGACAGAGGAGTAGCAAGTGGCTTACAATCCACCATACCAGCCCGAGTCAAAATATCAGACATATAACGGCGCTGGGACAACACAAAACCATCATCAATAGGAACCAGCTGTATCCCGAAAAGAAAACTCAGGGAGCCCAGATCACGAATCTTAAAGGCCGTAGCAAGCTGCCTTAAAAGCGAATCAACCAAAGCCGGGTCACTACCTATCAAAAGGATGTCATCATCGTATACAAGCAAGAAAACATGTGCACCTGCAAGAGTATAATAAAATAAAGAAACGTCGGTTTTGGACGACTTAAACTCGACTGAGAGCAGATAATCATGCAGGCGCCTAAACCAAGCCCGTGGGGCCTGCTTCAGACCATAAAGAGATCGCTGTAAATGATACACATGGTCTGGGAAAGTTGGATCAACATAGCCTAGAGGATGCTTCATAAGCACAGATTCAGCTAAGCGCCCATTAAGAAAGGCGTTATGCACGTCCAGCTACCGAAGAATCCAACCACGAGACAAAGCATAGGACAAAAGGAGACAAACTGTAGTTGGCTTGACCACCGGGCTGAAAGTTTCAAAGAAATCCTCCCCGGCAACCTGATTACAGCCTTTGGCAACCAACCGCGCCTTATACCGTTCAACTGAACCGTCAGCCTTACGCTTGGTTTGGTACACCCACTTGCACCCCACAATATTCATGTCAGACGAAGCCGAAACCAGTCGCCAAGTGTGATTATGGAGGAGCGCATTAAACTCCTCATCCATCGCAACACGCCACTCCAGATGCAAGACAACCTAGGAATAACACGAAGGATCACCCGAGCTAGCCACCAAAGCCTGAAGCGGCTTAGTATGCTCCATGTGCCGCAATAACATAGAATGAGAGTGGGGCGGTGGCACCGGCCTAGCTCAGCACTTGGGCTTACTCGTAACAACACCATGACTAGCTGGTAGCATAGCACCTGGACGTGGCTCAGGCAACCCAGTAGGCGATGGCACAACAATCGGACAAACACCCCACGGTTCACCAACATCGCAATCCGGGGAACGATCCTGCACAAAGGATTTAGCAAAGGGGAACACACCCTCATCAAACCGAACATGTCGGCATATACACATTTTACCCGTATCAAGGTCCATGCACCGATACCCACGAAACGAAGACGGGTATCCTAAGAAAACACAAGGAGACAACCGAAAAGCAAATTTGTGCTTATTGTATGGCCGGAGATAAGGGTAACACAAACACCCAAACACTCTAAGATAAGACATAGAAGACTCAGAACGAAACAGTGTATAGTACGGACTACGCATTTGTAAAACAGACAAGGGCAGACGATTAATCAAAAACACGGCCAGATGAATATAACGTAATTCTATATTCGATAATCAGGAATAACAACTGTTACAGATAATATAAGCTAGAGGTAGAAGACTACTAGGACTCTCACACTTGAGTCCATTATTAACTCTAATATTATCTATTATCCTATTAATCATAAGTATTTGTGTTAGTTCTAATTGAGATGGAGCATATGCTTCAATCTAATATTAGAGTCAACTTTATGCCAAAAGTCAAGATTATGGTGTAACACCCCCGATTTTACCATATTTTAAAAACTTAGATGCAAGAGATAAACAAACTAAACATCGATAAACATTAAGCGGAAGCAAGTCTATACCGGGGCTTTATGCCACATCTTAACTGCTAAAGATGCACAGGCGGGGAAACTAATCCATACATTCAACATAGTCTAAAGAGTTAAGGCACACAGGCCGCTCAAAACACAACGTCTAGACAAAGGATAAAACTATTTAAGCTCCAGTCTAGCGCTCTTGGTCTCTACTCAAAACCTGTAGAACAAGGAAAACATAACATGGGGATGACACCCGGTCATCAAACATTGCTGGTAACCCATTAATACGCGTTAAATAGCATATATAGATAAGTATAAGTCAAAACCATTTTCGAAACGGAATACAGTATATATCATTTCAAAAGCCATAGAGAGAAGTCAACTTCAAAGACTAATTCACACTCTCAAGGAAAAGGAAATCAACATCCTTACGACAACAACAAGACAAGAATACCAACTGTAACCAATACAACTCGAGATGTATTCTACTGATCACAAAGTAGAATACATCAAGACATGCTCATTAGCAAAGAATACACATTCACACATTGGCAACTACATGCCACAGTGACAACTACATGTCACAAGTTTCACAGTTCCAACCTTATGTCCTGTTCCGACCTTATGGCTACCCCCGGCTTTATTTCAGTTCCAACCATTACCTCCGAGTGCCACCCTGTACTTCTGAGTCCAACCTTATACCGCCAGGGACCGTCGTCCCCACTCCAACAATCTCCAACAAACCACTTACATATGAGTACACAAGGGTACTATTCATTTCATTCACACAACCACCTACATATGAGCCTACGCTCAGGTCACACCACCAATTTCAATCATAATCACACAAGTCATCATCATTACCAAGAAGACTAAGGTTCCACAATAACCTTAATCAAGCATCAATCAAAGGGTACAACGATTACACACGTTCATATCATAGGAATCAATCAATGGATCACAACAAAGATATGAAACCATACTCAACAACGAAGGATCACAATCCGACACCAAACGATGGTCAACACAAGTTGCCAATCTCAATAGGAAAGAACAAACCGCACATACTAGCATTTCAACATCAAACTAGCATGCTTATCAAACGGGTAAACAAAAGTAGTTCCAAAGAACATACAAGACTCACAATAGTCCAACGAATCACAAAGTTGGACACTTAGCACGATTCAAGACACCAAATCCTACATGGAATCCTATCATACCGTTCTAGACATACGAAACATCAAGAAGACTCACAAATGACCCAATAAAACAACATCGGGAAGTTAAAACATCAATACCGAGTCAAAAGAATCACGGGGAACAAATCCCCGCCAACCAACATACATGTTCCCCGCGGGTGGGCCACGGGTGGACAACCACCTGTGGTTCCGCCCGCGGGTACCAAGCCCACAAGCCTTGTTCCCCGCGGGTGGGGCGGTGGGTAGGCCTCTGCCTGCCGTTCCGCCCGCAGGTACACCTGTACTCCAAAAATAATCCCTTCGGGGATTTTCAACAAGAAGTCCAAATTCAAGTCCAAAACACCCAAAATCTCACACAATACAACAATATGACTTGAACCCAAGAAATAGCCAAGCAATGGCATACAAGAACCCTAAGAACAAGCTCTAAACATGCATCACCACAAGACAATGCATCAAATCTCACATTTCATCACAAGAATCACGTGTAGAAGCCAAGAAATCATCATATAAGTAAGAAAATAGGTTTTGTAAAGCATAGGTTATCTTTGTACCTTAACAATCCAAAAACAACGCCAACCTTAAGCTCAACTCATAAGCCAGTCTATCAAAAGGGGAACCTGCGAATCAAACTGACCCTTCACTTTAATAACAAAACACTAAACCAAACTAGCTAGGCTTATAGGGGATTTGAACCCTAATCCCTCTTAAGATTGACCACACCCTTAACCATCTAGCCTAAGTATCATGTTGTGAACTTAGGCAACAATACTAATAAATAAGCTAATGACCAAGCACAAGGTAAACTTATTAATTAAAACTAATAGTTACTGCTTAAAGCTTTTGTGAGAATCAAACCTTAATCACCCCTTAAATACTAACCACTGTCTTACCACTAAACTAAGCAACACTTTTGTAACACTAATTAACAACAAACTACTTAACACCTAGTAAACAACAAGGATAAACAAAGCTCACCACTGCCATCTTCTTCTTCTTCATGCAGCTGCACCCGCGGGTGGAGCCCCAGGCAGGGACGGAGGCAAGTGCATTCTTAGGGGGGCCTTGGCCCCCCTCCCCCACCCCAAATTTTTTTAATGTTATATATGTATTAATTTTTTTTAAAAAAAATATTATATAAAATTTTAAAATTTTATTGTTTCTTTAAAATATTTGGCCCCCCTCCACTTAATTAATCTTACAGGTAAAGTTATAAATTTCTTTATCTTCTCAACTTTTTCAGTTCTCTCTTATTTCAAATTATGTATTCCCTACATTATTGACTCACATTCAAATTAAACATCATTTAACCTACTTACTAGTTTCTCTCTCTAGAACCATGCATATATGCGACATATAGGTTATAATAAGATAATTTGTCATTAACAAAATCTATGCATATTTTTCAAGTTAATTTTTGTTTTTTATTTTTGTTTCTAACTACTTGTTTGGTTAATTTTTGTTTCATATTCTATTGTTTATCTTAAATAATTGTTTTGTTTGATTCTAAATCATGGATATCAAGGTGCATTTGTTTGGTTAATTATGTAAATTTGTGGTTGTGTGATAAATTTTGTATTAAATTTAAAATGCATAATAATGTAACAATTGTGTAGTATATGTATTTGAGAAAACAAGTACTATTATGTTATGTTGTGAAAATGATTTTTCAAGAAATAATCAATAGTCTTTTAAAACATGTGTGAATGTTTTCATTCTTTCAGCCGTACAAAGCAATGTGCATTGAAAATCATATTGCAAAATAATTTAATATAGATTCAATTATAAATGATTTATTCTAAACTTTATTGAATTTGTAATGCAATGATTATTTTGAAATATGTTAACGGTATATCAATGTATTTGATTTAGTACTTAGTTGGCCCCCGCACTATTACGTCCTGGCTCCGTCCTGGCCCCAGGTACATCCACCACCCGCCGGTGTGCCTAAGCCACCAAGCCATTCCTCCAGATTGTTGCCGTCGGACTGCCACGCCGGAAAGAGGTGGAGGCCGGAGGAGGCGTTGCTGCTCGCTGCTCCGCCCAACGCCACCGAGAACAGGGGAGAAGATCTCTGTTTCGCTGAGAGAGACCGAGGCTGCCGCCACTACACACGTTGGACTTGTTGCTTCTCGAGGAAGAACGCAGCTGCCGTTCCGCCGGGAGAAGAACCAAGACCCACCACCGTTGCATCGCCGGAAAACGGAGATCACCGGAGCTTCTCCCTAACTCCATTAACCTCCGACGTTCCAAGCTAGATACCCGCCTCGCTGTGGTGGTGGCTTTACACTATGCCTCATCACCGATGTTGCCGTAAAGAGAGAACGGTTGACACAGCTCCGAAGCTCGCCGGACACACATGGAGGCTCTGCTTCGACGTCACCACTGGTTTACTAGGAAGAGGTTGGAACCAGAGGGGCTGTTTGTTTGAGTAGGCAAATTATGCTATGCATCCATGGTGCATACGGATGTCAAAACGACGTCGTTTTAATAAATGGCGCGTCTCTCCTAAAAAAAATCAGGTTCGATTCCCAGCAACAACATATGAATTAAAATTCCATAATCGATGAACTATAATTCCATAATCTAATCAATGAACTAAAAATTCCAGAATGAATGAACTAAAATTCCATAATCTATAAACTAAAATTTCAGAATCGATGAACTACAATTTCATAATTGATGAACTATAATTCCATAATCAATGAACTATAATTCCATAATCTATGAATTAAAATTTCAGAATGAATGAACAATATAATGTTGTTGCTGGGAATCGAACCTGAATTTTTTTTAAAGAGGAGACGCGTGTTTTTTTAATAAAACGACGTCGTTTTGGCGTCCGTATGCACCATAACGATTGGTTTGAGTAGAGGAAGAACCAAAGATGAGGGTGAAGGGAGAAACAAAGCTGCCGTTCCACTTAGCTAGGAGAGAAAGACAATACCCAGGATAGAGATATCTACCTATACCTAGGTTTCCATTTTGGGTTAGAGGAATTGAATAGAAAAGATTGGGCTCAACACTTGTATTTGGATAATTGGGTTGATTGTTTTCTTTGGTTCAGGCAAATTATATTATGCACCGCGGTGCATAATCGATTATGCACCGCGCGTCTTTTTTTTTTTAAATGAAAATTAACAGTGTTTATTTTCGCCGTTTCGCACCCTTTTGCAAAAAGTAACTCTGTTGTTCAGTGTCATTTTGTATACACTGCAGTTTCAGTTGAACACAACTACACTTTCATTTCGATATAACTATAGTTTCATTCAATATTTATAGACTCAAATATGTGAAAATGTTATTTAATTTTATTTTATATACACTATAGTTTTATTAAAACACAATTACATGATCATTTTGATATAATTACAGCTTCATTGTACAATATACACTCAAATATGTGAAATGTTATTCAGTTTCAGTTTATATACATTGCAGTTTCATTTCACTATAACTACAGTATCATTTTGATATAACTGCAGTGTCGGTTTGGATATACTGTAGTGTCAATTGGTGTTTAATACACCAAACAAACGGACTTCGTTAACTCTAACGGCGGGCCGTTTCTTTACTTAAAGAAATGGCGCCGTATATGGGCCGCGGTGCATAATCGATTATGCACCGCGGTCTATAATATAACAACTGTCAATCATTATTGTGTGGACCATGGTTCACACAAGTTGTGTGGACCATATTTTGTCTTCTGTAAAATAATGTACATTCAGTACAAAAGTAATGTACATTTAGTACAAAGATAATGTACATTGTATACAGGGGATGTACATTATTTTTGTTCTGAGTGTACATTATATTGTATAATGTACATTCAGTACAAAAATAATGTACATTTAGTACATTAAAAATGTACTTTTTGTTATAGTCCACATAACATTGTGTGGACCATGGTCCATACAATAATTTGCCAACAACTGTTTGGTAGGCCTAGGACACAAATATTTGGGTTAAGGTTGATATGGGTTCAAGACTAAATTTGGCTTAGGAAGATTTGGGTAATAAAAATCATTTGGGCCAAATAATATTTATTGAGCATATTCTATCAATAAATATCGGGCTTAGGATATTTGGGTACAAAAAGATTGATTCACCATATTAAATAGACCCGAGCCCATTTTATATTAAATAACTATATAAATATTTTTAATAAAAATATTTAATATCGAGACTATAGTTTATTTTAGGAAAATACGGGGTGTCACATATGGTCTACGTATTGTTTGGAGTCTGTTAAGGGTGTATTTGGAAACCTGGAAAATGAGTTCTGAAAATCATTTTCCAAGTTTCCATTGTTTGGATGTGCTTGGAAAATCATGTCAACGGAAATCATTTTCAGTTGACTTTGGAAAATAGGCTTGTTTTAAAGGAAAATGACTTCCCCTTTTTTTGGGGAAGTCATTTTCCAACTTTTACACCAACATCACACAACCACCAACATCATCAACACCATACCACCACCACCTCACTACCACCATCACACCACCACCACTACCACCGCCGCCGCCGCCACCACCACCACCACCACCTCACTACCACCATCACACCACCACCGCCGCCGCCACCACCACCACCACCGCACCACCGCAACCACCACCACCGCCACCACCATACCACCGCAACCACCGCCGCAACCACCATCACACCACCACCACTACGCTACCACACCACCACCACCATACCACCGCAACCACCGTCGCCACCGCCACCACCACCATCACACGACCACCACTACCACTACGACCGCCACTGCCACCACCATCATACCACCACAACCACCGTTGCCGCCGCCACCACCACCACCACCATGCCACCGCCGCCGCCACCACCACCATACCACCGCAACCACCGCCACCACCATCACACCACCACCACCACGACCATACCATCGCAACCACCGCCACCACTGCAACCACCATTGCCGCCACCACCACCACCATACCACCGCTGCCGCCGCCACCACCATACCACTGCAACCACCGTCGCCGCCACCACCACCACCACCACCATACCACCGCAACCACTGCCACCACACCACCACCACCACTGCTACCACCAGTTGTTATTATTATTATTATTATTATTATTATTATTATTATTATTATTATTATTATTATATAACAAATAACACCACTACCACTACACCACCACCACCATAATATTTTTGATATATTATTAGTTATTTTTTATTATATTTAAAGTTATTATTATATTATTATATATTATTATACATGTTGTAATATTCTAAATAAAATAATTAAAATGTTTAATTATACAATTCTGCTCATTTTCCAGAAAATGAACAAAACATACAAAAATAATTTTCCAGAATGCAACCAAACACGGGAAAGGAAAATGTTTTCCAGAAAATGACTCAATTTTCAGAAAACATTTTCCAGAAGTCATTTTCCTGCTTTCCAAACGGACCCTAAAAGTAATCGGCTCACACACGTGAGGGGAGAAGAAGTATTTGTGCCTTCTTTACAAAGCAAGCCAAAAAGATAGCAGTATTTAGTACACTAGTAATGTAGTATGTCAATGTCCTTTAGCTCAATTGCTCAAGTCACCATAAAGACTTCTCAACTCTTAAAACTTGCTTTCAAATGAATCAAAAACTGAATATAAAAATAAGAAGAATTTGGCATACGTATTTGATTAAAAAAATTCATTTTCTAATTATGAAAAAAGAATATGTTTGATCTATTGCGAAACATTTGATCTTTTACTCATACAATTGTTTCACATTTCAATCTAAATCATTTGCTGCAATTTTAAGCTAAGGATCCGTTTGAAAAACAGAAAAATGACTTCTGAAAAATATTTTTTTTTTAGAAAATGAGTCATTTTTTGAAAAATGTTTTTTTTTTTCTCGTGTTTGGTTACACAGCAGAAAATTGTCTTTGTGTGTTTGGTTCATTTTTAAGAAAATGAGGTAAAATTGTATAATTAAATATTTTATATAATTAATTATTTTGTTTAAAATAAAAATATTTATAATAATATTATTTTTTTATGAAATCAAATAATATTAATTATTAAAAAGTTAAAAAATAAAATAAAAAATAAAACAAAAAAGACAGTGAAAACCATATAGAATGGTTTCCCTCGCCGGAAATCAGAGAGAACTTCACTCTAGTTTCCCTTATCTCTGATTTCCACAATCGGAAACCAGACTGGTTCTCGGCTGCGGAAACCATCGTTCCTCTCGGTTGTTTTTTTTTTTTTATTTTTTTTATTTTTTATTTTTTATTTTTTTAAGGTTTCCAACTGAAAACCAGTGCTCTGTTTTCCACCTAAAACCACAGCTCTGATTTTTGACGAAAACCAGACCACTGGTTTCCGCCGAAAACATTGTTGTATGTTTAGCGGAAAATGACTTCTGTCAAATTTTGGCGGAAGTCATTTTCCGCCAAATCAGCTTGATTTTTTTCAGTCAATAGAAAATGTTTTTCGTTGACTGGGTTTTCCAATCCCATCCAAACATGGGAATCCAGGAAAATGATTTCCAGAAATCATTTTCCAGGTTTCCAAACACAGCCTAAGTCCTTATTTGGCAATCCGCGGATAGCGATAGTGGATTGTGTTAGAGTTTTTTTTTATTTTTTTATTTTTTTTTAATTTTTTTTAAGGAAGAAAAAGTTAGCACGTGAAGTTAATTTTGGGACGAAAAGTGCAACGTCAATGATAGTTTAAGGGCAAAAAGTGAGCAAGACCAACACTTAAAATGAATTCTATAATTTAGGGACAAAAAGTAGTGTAATAATTTTGCCTTATTATTATTATTATTTGGAAGGGCCTTATTATTATTATTATTATTATTATTATTATAATAATAATAATTATTATTATTATTATTATTATTAGGAGTTAGTATGAATATTAATTGATGTGGATCCTACAGAAGCGTAAGTTATACTAACAATTCGGATCTTATATCGAATACGGCAAGAACGCCATTAGTTTCAACTCTGATAGGAAAGACCTGCAACAATAATACCAAAAACACAAATCAAAGTCGGAAAAAAAAAAACGCATTCTGATTATATTATTGCAACGATCACGATCATGATCATGATCATCAATTCATTTCCTTTTCGTTCTTGATTATCATAACAAAGAAACCCCACTCCCCAAATCCATCAAGAATGAGCAGCAAAGAACCGGCGGCGAAGCTAAACGAGGAACAAGTCGCGGAGCTGAAGGAAATTTTCCGATCATTCGACAGAAACAACGACGGCAGCCTAACCCAGCTGGAGCTGGGGTCGCTCCTCCGATCCCTGGGCCTAACCCCGAGCTCCGACGACCTGGACACGCTGATCCAGAAGGCGGACACCAACAACAATGGGCTGGTGGAGTTCCCGGAGTTCGTGGCCCTGGCGGCCCCGGAGCTCCTAAATTCCTCGGAGGATCAGTCGTCTCCCTACTCGGAGGATCAGCTGAAGCAGCTCTTCAAATTCTTCGACAGCGACGGCGATGGGTACATCACGGCCGCCGAGCTGGCCCACTCCATGGCCAAGCTTGGCCACACGTTGACGGCGGAAGAGCTGACGGAGATGATCACGGAGGCCGACACCGACGGAGACGGTAGGATCAGTTTCCAGGAATTCTCTCAGGCTATCACTTTGGCTGCGTTTCATAATTCTTGGTCGTCCCTAGATTAATTATATTATTCCAGATTATTATAAATATATTTGTGCCTATACTAACTTTTTTTTACCTGAAAATTATTTCCACAATTTTATGATAAAAGTGATGGAACGGTGCATATGCTATAAACATGTCTGGCCTCACAATCGCATGCATCTAAGAAATTAGGAGAATGAAATAAGGTGGAAAAATGAACTACAATGTTTATGAAGAGCGACGTTGATAATTGACATATTTGTGATTGACATATATTACAATTTTCTCTTATTATTATTCTTTTGAAAAATAGTTAACATACCTTGATAAACTAGAATTCAAGGTTGATAAACTAGAATTCAAGGGAGAAAGACTTGAAAGGAAATTCCCTGCACTGATTGCAATCATTGTATAGACTGAAGAAGCAATAAAAAAATCAGAGTAATAAAAGTTGAGTCTAGCAATTTTGGTCGGAGAAATGTGATCCAAAGAGTGCAGAAGCCATTAGAATCATGGTGTTGAAGACACCAAATTGTCAAAAGAATCTAAAGAATCCAACCATGATTCTACTGCCTCCCAGAATCATGGTGTTACCATGATTTACATCCTCCCAGATGCTCTGTAAGGTCGGGGTGTGGAGGGCCCTTAGGATTGGGGTTCAACCTTTTGGAAAAATTGTTCTTATGAAAGGGAAGTAGAAATGGTTGCTACTGAAATTCTAAATATTGCAAATGATGTAGAACAAGACTTGTAACAGGAAGAGGATAGTGAAAGAACCATTTCTACATAACAACAACAACCAGATGCCACAACATCGAGTGGAGCTTAACATGATCTTTTTGATAGGTATGTTAAGTCTTGTATGTATGCATTAATTTAACATATATTGTCAAATAAAACTGTAGTTGAAGTAAAATAATATTCTAGTGTTGATGCAATGAAACTACAGTGTATATAGAATGAAATCGAGTAGCATGTCTCACATTTTAAGTGTATATTATCAAATAAAATTGTAGTTGAACTAAAATGATATTGTAGTGTTGATGTAATAAAACTACAACGTGTAGAAAAATTAAACAGGATAGCAGGTCTCACATATCGATTATATATTGTTGAGAAAAGGGTCAAATAGGCCCTTAAACTTTACTCCAAAGGTCAATCAGGCTCCTAAACTTTAAAAAAGTTCAATTAAACACTCAAACATGTCAAATTGGGTCAATGAAGCCCAAAAACCGGTAAATGACCTGTTATAACAAGTCATTTCAATTCTGACGATGGATTCCGGCCACCGGCGACATTTTCCGGCTGTCCGGTCGCCTTCCACTGGAGAAGACGATCGGACGACCGCATGGAGAAGGCGGCCGTCCTGTCGTCTTCTCCAGTGGAAGACGACCGAAAAATGTCGCCGGTTGCCGAAAATTGTCGCTGGTGGCCGGAATCCGTCGTCGGAATTAAAATGACCTGTAATAACATGTCATTTACCAGTTTTTGGGCTTCATTGACCCAATTTGACATGTTTAAGTGTTTAATTGAACTTTTTTAAAGTTTAGGGGCCTAATTGACCTTTAGGGTAAAGTTTAGAGGCCTATTTGACCATTTTCTCTATATTGTTAAATGAAATTATAGTTGAATTAAAATGATACACTAGTGTTGATGACTTGATGTAATGAAACTACAGTGTGTATAGAATGAAACCGAGTAGCATGTCTCATAAAATTGTAGTTGAACTAAAATGATATTGTAGTGTTGATATAATAAAACTACTGTGTGTAGAAAAATTAAACTGGATAACAGGTCTCACATATTAATTATATATGATACACTAGTGTTGATGACTTGATGTAATGAAAGTATGAAACTACAGTGTGTATAGAATGAAACTGAGTAGTAAGTCTCACATATTGAGTGTATATTGTCAAATGAAACTGTAGTTTGATTAAAAAAAATACTGTGGTGTTTATAACTTTTTATAATGAAATTATAGTGTGTACAAAATGAAACTATGGATTGTGTATTGTCAAATTAACATGTGGTTGGATTAAAGTTATAATTTAGTGATATTGTAATAAAAATGATAATATACTAGATAACGACCCTATAAATGAAGATTGATTGATGGTTCTGAATATGATACTGAGGATTTGGAAAAGATGGAAAGAAATGCAAGGAAATTCAAGAAACAATCCTTGCACTTAATTAAGATCCTTTTATTGGACAAAGAATGATGAGGAATTGAAGAATGTAGGTCCTAGGGAGAAGTTGATCTCAAACTTTACATTCATTGAACCATCAGAAGAGTATGATAAAACTCTTAACTCCTATTATATTATGTCATTACTTACCTCTTAATTGTCAACTTATTGATTCATGTTTGATGCATGTATTTGTGATATGATAGACATCTTCTTGCTTGTTTAGGTCACCACATAATTGAAAGGAGTGGAATGTAACCATAGAGATAGAATGACATCAATATAATTTTATGTGTTCGAGTCAAATTATTAAGTAGAACTCTCAAATTGTTAATACAATCGAGTTTAATAAGAAGATATTCTAATAAAACAGTTTAGGGGCTACTAATTACGGAGTAATACTCATTAGCATGAAAATAGTATGACTCGCGGTCTTAGGCATATTCAATTATATTGTGACATCGATTGTTTGTGGTCAATAAGGTCTTAGTGGATTCACAAGTTTAAGTACCCTTTATTCAATGGTCGATTTCTTCCATTTTGTTTTTCGATTCTTCTTTAATTGTTCTAGATTTTACTCTCTTTTATTTTGCTTTGTTATTTGCTACTTCATTCATTATTTGCAGTTGAATAATAGAATTATTGGTATTACTAATACTTTTAGTTCTTGTGAGATGCAACACTTGTTATTCATTCCTCTATACTCAAATACCATAGGTGCTGATGTGGTAAATTGTTGGGACTCTATGAATACGTATAAAGTACGGGATTGGACCGGGTTGCAGTCCTTAGGAAGTCTGCTTGTTGGTTTAATGAGTGGAGCTCAGGAATAAGCGTGAGGCCAGAGGTTCCCGAGCTGAATAAGGCTATAGAGAAGTTGCAAAAATGTCTTCCCTTATCGCTACTTCGTGGGGTATTTATAGGCGTTTCGGGGAACACATGTCTAGGGGTCGGCATGCGCGCCACGCGTCTTCCATGCACTTGGCAGTCCGGTCGGCCAAGGAGAAGCGTGCACGTGTGAGAATATGTTTGACTAACTAATCGCTTCTTAGAGCTATGCTTTTATGCTAAGTTCATGTGCTCGGGGTCCCGAGCGGGCTATCAGGTCGGGACCGGGCACGACAAGGGTACAAGTATACAACAGCTGCTTACCAGGTCCATAGGCCATTCGCTCTTCAGGGCGGGTCGGTCAAGCGCTAGTTTCTGATTGGATCGGGTCGGGAAAAGGTCAATGCTCTCAAACGGTCTGAACCCGACCAGGTCTAGCCTTCTTGGGAACAATAAAGATCGTAGCCCGAGATATATTCTCTATCAGATGCACTTACCTAATCAAATTACATTTTTTTCAAATAAGGTATCAATAACTAATTACACAAATATATTTTTATTCTTATTAAAATACTAGTTTTTTTTATGCACACTGCGCGAATGGATAATGCCCAATAATTATTTTTAAATAAGTATTTCAAAGTATATCAATGCAATATTATATAGGAGATGTTCTACTATGATTGACTTTCATATCATTTTTAAATTAATTACATTTAATTAATTAATTAATTCACCTCCGCAGTCTTTTATTTTTACATTATTTGTGCAATTGTGCCAAAATATGGCCACTTGATCAGTTGATCATCCTTTGTTTGGTTTAGTTATTGTATGCTTGGGTTGAAACTTGAAAGTCACACTAGTTAAGTGCATTATCTTTTTTCTTTATCCAAAAAGCAGAGCAAGAGTATCTTCAGGAAAAGAGAAAAAAAATAAAAAAAGAAAAGAAAAAAAAAAGAGTGCTACTCCCGAATTCCATTAACTTTAGCTTCCAGCTTAAGCTACAATTCTACAACCAATAACTCTTTTTCTATTCAAATGTCAACTTTTTAGTTTGTATACTCCGTGCTAAAACAGTTCTATATACAAATGTTTAATACACTTTCAGAAACAAAAACTATTACTTTAAATTTGATGTAATAATATTTTAGTGTAGTTTCTTTGATGAAAAATACTACGTGTATTTTCATTTTTTGCTTCTAACTTTTACTTCCACACACAAAATCTTGATGTAGATATTTGAATTAGGACCCACATGAAAAAGTAGTTTATCAGTGTCCGTCATATTATAGAGTAAAATTTAAGAAATTGAGTTCTACTACATATACTCCCTAATTTTACTCCTTACATTTTACTCCCTGATATGACCAGTTCTTATTAGCTATCCGTAATTTTACTCTCTACATTTTACTCCCTGATTTGACAAGTTCTTATATGACCAGTTCTTATTAGCTATCCCTAATTTTACTCCCTGATTTGGCAAGTTCTTATTAGCTATTTTTTTTATGTGGGTCTGAATACAAGTGTTTATATCAAGATTTTGTATGTGAGAGTACAAATACCATTTTTTCCATACAAATTTTATATATTAATATTAAATTTAATATCATAAAATGTTAAATTAAAAATAACTCCATTCAAATTTTTTATATATTAATATTAAATTTAATATCATAAAATGTTAAATTAAAAATAACTCCATTCAAGTTTTATTGGTGGAACTAGATATATTTTGAACAAAGGGGTATACCTTTTTCCTTTTTTAAAAATTTTTATTATACTTATCAATAAAAATGTTTATCTATCAAAACATCAATAGACTCAGCAAACTCTCACTCATTTACTCTGTTAACTACTCTCTCTCCCTTTGTTTCTCTCTCTGGAGCAATGCATAGGCAATCACTAGGGTCGCCGGGATCAAAGCACCTCAACAACTCTCATGGAGTCATCGTGGAAGCACGAGACGACGGCGGCTCTGTAGCCACCTTCCACGAAGACGAAGAGCGCAAGTCGCTGAGGCGTCTCGGTAAGGCCCAGAAATACGTGCACCTAATCCCGCTCCTCACCGTCCTTTGCTACCTCATCCTCTACCTCTCCTCCCACCATCCTACCGAGAATGGTAATTTTCTGTATATTTTGTTTTCCGGAATTGTTTTCATGAATATTTATTGGTTTCTCATGAGATTTTTGTTTCAGATTTAGCTCAGTTTAATGGTTTCAACGGATTATCTAAGCCTATAGGTATAGAAATGCTTCTTCTATTTCACCCGTTTGACATCTTTCTTAGCTTTTTTTGTCTTAATTACTGAGTATTTTTTGCGCCGGTGATGTGGATACAGAATCCGGTGTTGCAGCGATAGAGAAGAGCAACGTTCTGGCGATTCGAAGCTTGAGGAACCTCCGCGAGATTGACATGGATAACTCAAAGCGCAGGTTTCACCGGAAAATTGCCGATTTCTAAGATGTATAATCTGCTTCTCTCTCTATCTCTCTCTCTGTATCTATTTATCTACTGCGTCGCCGGAGTTTCGTCACCGGAGCCAGTGCTCTCCCACCGACATCAGATTTTTTTTACCACACCTGTTAATTTTCTTTTTTATTTTACCTCCCGTGCGCCTTTGTAAAAGTTATATTACTCCATTTTTTTTTACCGTTGTGTATGATGGAGATATTTGTAGGCTGTAAAATTTTGTGAACAGAAGGTTACTATTGTGCGCCGCCGGTGAGGGGTGTAGGTTAGGTCATTAAAAGTGCGCCGAGGCTTTGTTTTAATGCGAAACAGCTGGAAAAATTGGAGCGTTGCAGCAAAGGGGGCCTCGTGCTGCGGTTGGAATCGCCAGCTGGGAAAAAAGCATGTTTTGATGCTAAGTCTCATTGGCTTCTGTGAATTAACTAACTTCGAGAACCGCTACCTCCTTCACCCAAACTCTTCCTGATTTCTGTCCAATAAGTGAGAATATTACCTCATTTTATCTGTTCTGGTTATTATTTATTACTTAAATTAAATTTATTTTAATTTATTTAATTTTTTTATTTACTCTCTCTATCATATTTTATCTGTTCTAGTAGTTATTATTCATGGATAAAACAAACTCTTTCTTTCTTGTTTATTTTTTTATAATTATTTTAAATTTTGATTTTTATGTTTAATAGTACTTTTAATGTAGTTTTTAAATATATAAATTTTGCATACTAATACTAAACTTAATACTATGGAAAATTGAATTTAAAATAACTGCAGCCTCATTAATCGAATCAGATACATATAATAGGACGGAGATACATATAATAGGACGGAGGGAGTAATATATTAATATTTTATGTATTTCATTTTATGTGTCTTACTATATTCATAGGTTAAAATAACACTTTCTTATTTATTTATTTTTCTTTAATATTTTTTTTACTTATTTTTATTTATTTTTATTTATTTATTTATTTTTTTGTGTTCAATTGTACTTTGATTGTAGTTGCTAAATATATAAATTTTGTATATTACCAGTTTAACATTAAACTTATTATTATGAAAAATTAAATTAAAAATAACATCAATCGAATCTCGTTAATTGAAGCAGTCACATAAAGTGAAATAGAATGAGTAGTACTTTTAATATAATTTTTAAATATATAAATTATATATATTAATATTAAATTTAATATTATGAAAGATACATAAAATTGGATTGAAGTAGTATTATATTACAACAAATATTTGTGTAAGACAGTTTTACGGATATTTATTTGTGATACGGGTCAAATTAAAATGAAAATGAAATGTTTAGATTAACATGATTTTTAAAAATTATTATTATTTTTTTAATGTTTAATAGTATTCTAGTGAAATTTTAAATATATAAATTTTGTATATATGAAAAAATTGAATTAAATATTAACCAAATTAGATACACATAAAATTAGATGGAGTATTATTTATGCTTCTCAAATTCACACAATATATTGTTGTAGAATAATGTAGTTAAAGCAGTATGGGCATAATGATTGAAGTTGGTTATAGTAGAGGCTAGAGGTGAGGTAGCATGATCAAATTATGCCCCAAAACGGTCGGTGGGTAAGACAATCATTCACAGGCTCTGGTCTATTAGTCTATAGGTCCCATTTATGATTTATTTATTTATATATATATATTTTTTGCAAAGAAGGTCCCATTTATGATTTATTTATTATATATATATATATATATATATATATTTGCAAAGAAGGTCCCATTTATGATTTATCTGATAGGAATTTTCTATATTGCGAGACGGTAGGACGAACGCCAGACAGATACCCGTGTTGTTGACGTGTATACTGATTCCAAATTTGTTTCGTCAGGAAGGTATTTTAAAAAGACTAAGTATTTTTTATTGGAAATGTGTAAAATATTAGTACTTTATATTAAAATTTTAAATTTATTTATATTTTAAATATTTAATTTATTGTAAATAATAATAATAATGTAAAATATTTTTATAAATTTAATATTTATATTTTAGGGAATAACTAACATATAATTGTAATATATAATGTGTATATTATTATTATTATTATTATTGTTGTTGTTGTTGTTGTTGTTGTTGTTGTTGTTGAAGAAGAAGATAAGAAAATACGTAGTAGATATATGTACATGATAACAATAGTGGAAAATGTAACGGAAGTTATAACGATAGGGATATATTTATCCAAAATATTGTATAGTACAACTTTTATAGCATAATATATAACAAATATAACAAAAAATTAGACATAAATGAAGGGTATAATTTTTATTCAAACTTATTATGTTTTTAAACAATTTATTTATTTAAATGAAATTTACAATTTTTGTTTTTCTAATTATGGTGTAAATGTAGTTACTCATTTTCCTTCTTATGATAACGATGCATTTATTTGATAAGATTAGAGTTTCGTTAAAAATCATAAAATCTAGAAATTAAATTTATATTATAAATAATTAAAAATGGTAGCAAATTTTTTGTTTTTTTCTAATTCCATGGGATTGCAATTCATTCTAACCAAACAAAGGACTTTACAGGGCGTTTGGTTGAAGGGAATTTAAATTCCCTTCCCACTTTTTGAAAATTATATGGTGCTATATTAAAAATAGGCTATATTTAAATTCCCTTCCCACTTAATTCCCACATAATTCCAAATGCCACAAAATTTCCTTGTTTGGTTGAAAGGAATTGCAATTTCCCCACTTTCATGGAATTAAAATCTCATGTCCCCCCTTGAGATTTTAATTCCTGGGATTTTAGGAAGAAAAAAAGATAGTGATGAGTCAAAATTACTCATTCCTTTTTTAACCTAAAATTAATGCCTACCAACAACAATGGACATTTTTGACTTTATACTACTTATTCCCTTTCAATTCCCATGTATACCAAACATTGGAATTGAAATTCCCAGTAATTCTATTCCCGTAAACCAAACACTGGAATTTAAATTCCCACTTTATTCCTAGTAATTCATCTCCCATGGAATTGCAATTCCTTTCCCACGTAATTCCCCATCTCCAACCAAACGCCCCGTTAATGGCATTTGAAATTAGGTAGGAATTAAATGAGAATGAAATTTAAATTCTCTCAAACCAAACACCATGTAATAGTATAATTAGTTCTATGAACTTCACCTTTTGGGCAATGCTATGTTTAAAATTTATGTTATAATTTCATTTATAAGATGTAAGATAAATCTCAACATTTATGGCCCTATAGATAATAAGTATCACCATCCAGAGCAAACCAATAAACGCTCTTTTATGATGATTCACATTGCCATAAACGCATAAGATAACAATATGTGATACAAAATCATTTATCATATGACAATTAGTGAACTCACCATACAATATATGGAGTGGTCACGTCAAGAAATCGTATCAACTAGCCGATTGAATTTTGCTTTGATAATAAAAAATTAAAGGCAAAAATTTGTGTGAGACCGTCTCACGGGTCTCAATCCGTGAGACGTGTCGGATTTTTGATTAATAAGGTTAAATATTCGACCCATTAATCAAATATCCAACCTCCCTTCAAAAAGAAAAATTAAAAAATATCCGATTCGTCTCACATATTAAAATCCGGGAGACGGTCTCGCACGAGTATTACTCAAAATTAAATAGCCAAATCATTTAATTTATTGCCTAGCAGAGTTATTAACATATGATTAACTACTTAACTAGTAGCTAAAGTAGCATGATGTCCACAAACATATATTTTTCATAAAAATGAGAATATGTATGAAGAATTGACGATTATATAGGATATGTATTTTTTAAATATATATTCGTATAGTAGGATATGTATTTTTTAAACTAGTATTTTGCGATGCACGGAATGAATTTGTTATAATATATTAAAAATATTTGGATTGATATATAATTATTTAAATTAAACCATCAAATATTATATAGTGCAATTGAATATATGGTTTTGACTATTTATGTGTTTTGATGTTATCATTGTTTGAATTTGAGTAAATAATTGCTCAAATTAATAGCTAATGTGTAGATGTACGCATGTGGTGCTGTAACTTCGGAGATTTTATTTATCATTGTTTAGTATTTTTTTTTTAAGAATTAGGCAAATGTGTTCGTTCTCTAGCAACTCAGTTATAGGAATGAATTGCTATCTTAATTCATTTGTATGGATTTTTTTTTATTTTTTTATTTTTATTTTTTTTTGTCTAGATATATAGCAATTTTGCCATTTAAAAAAACATAATATCAACGATTGTATTTACACATTATTGAAACCTCTTTGTAGACGATATTGGTAGTAGCAACGCAATCCTGTCCATCATCGTATAGAGCTAACACCTTCAGCCCACCAAGATATGTGACTCGCGTGAAAATATATAATGGTAGAGTATTAGTCAATTAGGGATCCTTTTATATTTTAAGTCAATTAGTAATATCAAATTCAATCAAGACTATGTGGTCTAATGGTATCTAGGTTGGACATCCATTTGGAAGGTTGTAAGTTCAAGCCTCAGTGGAGGCGTTATTGGTTCTTTGTCTTTCAGTAGATTGAGAAAGTATACGAACAAATGAGCTAGTAGCATATGAATTATTCTTTTATATTTTTTCAATTAGAATATCATATGCAGTGATATTTTTACCTAATTTTTGTTCTATTTTTAATTGATGATGTATAATATTATTATTGAAATATTTCCGTTTTATTTTTAATTTATCTTTAATATTGTTTAAAATATGCTTTTACTATTTATGATGTAGAATTATTATTCAAATATTTCCGTTAAATTTTAGTTTTCGTTCCATTTTTAATTAAAATGCAGTGATCTAACCATTTATTTTTTTCATATTTATCAATTATGGATCATTTTTTATTTGTAGTCAACTATTAGTATTCATTTCTTTTTATATTTTCAGTCAATTTGTAATGTCATATTCATTTTCAGCCAATTATTCTTTTTTTATTCTCAGTCAATTAGTCAATTAGCCAATTAGAATATCAGATACAATGATATTTTTACCCAATTTTTGTTCTATTTTTAATTGATGATGTAGAATATTATTATTGAAATATTTCCGATTCATTTTTAATTTTCGTTGTATTTTTTATTTACCTTTATTATTGTTTAAAATATGTCTTTACTATTGATGATGTAGAGTATTGTTATTTAAATATTTCCTTTTCATTTTTAATTTACTTTTACTTGATAATGTAGAATATTATTATTAAAATATTTTCGTTACATTTTTAATTTCCATTTCATTGTTTAAAATTGTGAAAGATTTATGACATAATTGTGATTTGATATATTATACTGTATAATATTATTGTGAACAATTAAAATGTAATGATCTAACCATTTCCTTTTCCATTTTAGTCAATTATGGATCATTTTTTATTTTCAGTCAATTATTAATATTCATGTCCTTTTCCAATTAACCTAACTTCAATTTTTTTTTCATTTTTAATTTTCAGTGAATTATTAAT